ACATTCCAAGTTCCGGTAGTGAGTCCGGCGTTGAGATGCCCATGTACTGGTGCATTGACTGAGAAGGTGATGATTGTTCCATTGAGAAGCATGATGAAGTGAACGTGGGGCTAGGCATTTCCAGAGCGAGGAGGTCTTCCATGGGAAAGTTTGTGTCGTAAAGGGGGCTGTTGATGTCGATACTGTAAGGTAGCAACCAGTCAAGATCTTGAGGTGCAGGTAAGCATCCCGGACGGTTGTTCCAGTCAGATGGCACGCCGTCAAAATAGTTGAGAAGCTTCGCCTCCATGTTTTCGCCAGTTGACGGGGTCGAAGTTCTGCTGTCAGAAAAATCGGTTACCGACGTGTCTGCCATGCAGTCGATGCTGCCGATACGACTGCTGATGCTGCTGCTGCTAATGCTGCCGAAAGAAGCATCACTCGGGCTGGGCGTGCACGGGAGAAAGTCCATTCTGTTGTGGTCTGCTGGGTGTTCCCACATTGGGGCGACGGCGTTATGTCTTTTATTTGGAACTTTGGGTGGCCGGCCAGCTTTCCGTACCCGGCTGTAGACGCAATCTCGCCCACGGCGGAGACAGCGATGACATGCCGGCTTTGACTGATCGCATTTCAGCTTTGATCGAGTACAGAAATCACAAGAGTTTCGTAGCCTCCGGGTGTTGACGTCGATACGATGCGCCGAGTTTGGGGCTGTGTTCATGTTTGTCATGATTGCGTTGATATGGAGTGGTGTTTGTCCGAAATGCCAAGTCAATGTGAGTTGAGTCTTCAAGAGTTCAGCTGGGTAAGTCAGACCGGTAAACGTAGAGCCAAGACAATTGGTGGCGGGGCTACTAGTTTTTGAGTACGGCGGGACAGGTGTCAATTAGTTCTCGGGTCGACTCAGGTCAGTACACTAGCGCGTCTCCTCCTTGTGCCTACGGAAACTTTAACGGTCTTTCAAACAGGATTAGAGTTGATAAACGCGACTAGAATGCCAGGTAGCTCTCAGTGGTGGGTAAACGTCCCGGCTGCCCGGCATGGAGCGCAACTCTGCTGATATAGGGTAAGGCTGTGGGTCACATTGGTGGGCAAGAGACAACTGCTAGTTGGAAAGTCTGAAAACGTGATTCAGATAAGAGGATTCAGGGCGTAGTAGCAATAGGAGCAGCTGGAGCCTAGGCCGGCGTCTCGAGGGATGTATGAGAGTATGTGACAGTGTGTGAGCCTCGGTGCGTGTAAACAAACCGAAAGACCGGGAAACCTGGATAGGTACCTTTGGTACGAGCTATCCACGATTAGGGTAGGCAGGCTAGAAGCAGGGCCATCTGTGGGGTGGTGGTGGTGTGCAGGACGGCCGCCAACGATCGACGGCCTGCTTCTGGTGTCGAGCAGAAATTCGAGGTAATGGGCCCAGGTGGAAGAACATTCGCGTGTTCCACGGTAACCTTCTGAACCGTAGGTAGTCTACATCGTATCGTCCAGTGTTCCTCCACGGGCCAGAGCAGTACGCGCGGCCAAGTCATTTCCGTCTCCCTAGGGCTGAGAAAGCTGTGTAGATGTCGATGAGGGCCAGAGGGACTTTTGCGGTTGCCGATTTGCATGGTACCGAGGTCTTGGTTCGCCGACACTTGTGACAAGGAGAACACTGAGAGGATTGTACACATAGTTCTTCCTGCTAGAGATGATGGATGCGATAAGGTTTGTGGGGGGGTATGTGGTAGCTGACGCCGGCAGGCAGAGTTATGCTAGTTTGTCGCCGGGGATCCAAACCGCTCGATGTCGCGAATACCATGAACCTTCCGCGCGGAAGTTTTATCCACAAAAAGTCGCCTAGCAGTGGTAGACTGTGACTTGCTCGGGAATCTTCTGCCCATAGCTTCTCTGCATCGTTTCACGGCACTGGCGGGGCAGAGAATGCTCGATGTGCTTTTGCCAAGATGGTCCGAGCTGTCCCCGATAAAGTTGGGAGAGTTGGCCTGCATGCAGGTATCTTACTGGAAATGACGGGCAGAATACGTGGCAGATGATTGTTCGGCGCTCACACATAAAGGTCCTGCTTCACACAACTACAATTCAATTCTTTAGTCTTCGTTTCCGCGCGGGAACTGTTGCAAACACTTGCCTACGACGACGTCTGAACTCAGAGAGTCTCACAGAACCCAAATATCTCTCAGAGTGAGTGCGCAAGTGGGTCCAATGCGAGCCGATACCGAGCCGATTGCTGCTGCCGGCCGGAGTCTGCAGGAAACCCGGTACGACGGAACTTTAAGTGGTCCTCAATATTTCCTAATCGGGTCTACGTTCGAAGTCGTCCGTACCTCAGCCGCCAGCCTTAGATGGCCTCAAATGTGATCGGGTCACCTCCCGTCGGTCTGCATTGGACGAAGCTCGAGCAAGCGTATACAAAGGTTGCCCATCTTCACATTGCCAATCACTTGGCAACAGTTGCTCAAAAGTGAAAATTCATCAGGCAAGTCATCCGAAATGATGGTGGCAAACCCAGATCTCGTCTCTCTTTCATAGTGAGCCAATCAATTCCCAGTAGCACCATCGTGGAGGAAGATCTCATACACTCAGGTCGCGGCACTGCATGCGAACGGTTGCCGCTACGGCAGAGAAAGGAGTGGTTGACACTTATGCAGGAATCAGTCAAGCGTTACGGCTTGCACTTATCGTGAAAGCGTCAATGACGCATCGATTATGTGTGCAAAGTAATCAACGCCGACTCTGGGAACCGATCAAAACACCTCACACACGCTACGGTAGCTTGAACATTCACACAACTTCACGAGAAAAAAGAGCAACACTTGAAGTCCACGAAGCTTCCGTGCGGGCTGTTGTTTGGATGCAATGCTAATTGCCCACGGGCCGTAGTTGGGCGTGATGGGAAGAGCTTCTGCTCTCGACACTTGCCTTGTTTGGACTATTATGGTTGCACAGATATGTTGATCGTCATGGTCTGTGGGCTGATATCTTGAGCCCCATCGATGTATCCCATTGAATCATGAACGATGTTTTACTCTCGTGGTAGATTATTTGAGATGCCCTAACCCTAACCCTAACCCTAACCCTAACCCTAACCCTAACCCTAACCCTAACCCTAACCCTAACCCTAACCCTAACCCTAACCCTAACCCTAACCCTAAGACTTCTTATAGCTTTTTAATAATTAACTTAATATTAGATCTTACGATCGCTTTTAGCTATTTTTATTAAGAACCCCTTTTAATAAAAACTACGATTAATTATCGAAGCCTTATTTACCTTACGACTTATAGATATAGTATTAGGGAAGCTATTTACGACTACGATACTATTTACTTAGTACTCGTAGCCTTAACTTCTATTAATATACTTATTACGACTAGCTAGCCGTAATAATAGGATTTTAATAAAAAAGAATCCTAAGATAATAAAGGCTTTATAATAAATTTAAAAAGGAAAGTTAAAACGAAAAGTAATAGATTTACTATTATTTTTATTTATTAAGGGGATTAAAATAGGAAATATAATTAAAGTTAACTAAGTATTTAATACTAAAATTCTTTTATTTATTATTAATAAGTGAAAGGTTAGTTCGAGTATTTAGTACTTAAATTCTTTTACTTATTAATAATAAGTAAAAGGTTAGCTCGAGTATTTAGTACTCAAACTTTTTTACTTATTATTAATAAATAAAAAGTTAGCTCGAGTATTTAGTACTTAAATTCTTTTACTTGCTAATAATAAGTAAAAAGCTAGTAAAAGTAGTAATTATTTAGGGTTTATAAATCTTAAATTATTCTTTAATTTACTAATAATAAATAAAAAGTTAGCTAAAGTAATAAGTATTTAAAATTTATAAATTTTAAAATTTCCATTTAAGCCTAACCCTTCGGCACTTAATTAATATAGCCGATTCTATTTAAATCGCTTGCGAATAATACTTAAGTATAGATCTTTTTAACCGAGGCGCCTCTAGGAAGACCGAGCTTCTTACTAAGATACTTGGCTATCCTCGTTAAGAGTGTCGACCCCGGTTTGGCATCTATTTCGTTCTTAGATAAGAAGTCTTCGATATTTCTATCTAATCCTATCGCGGCCAGGCTCGACTAATGATCCCATTCACGGACGAGCGACACCTTCATATCGACCAGTCGAATGTCGTCGATCGTTAATATATTGTGGCAGTCGTGTTGAGCGGCCTGAGCCCAGCGTAGGGTGAAGCTAGATATTGTCGCCGGTCCGCCCTAGTAGCCATCCCCCGCGTCGTCTGGCAACCGACGAATCTCTTTTGGTGGGAAATGAAAGGGCGCTAGCACGACATGGGGCAGCCGACGAACTAAATCTGGGGTAACCGACGAACTCCAGATCAGGACTGACAAGCAATAAGATAGCCGCGAAAACTTACAGGATTATAGAATTCCACGTTAGAATCCTTTCAAAATGTTTTCTCCTACAAGAAATCGCCGTAGGTATGGAAAATCGCTGGATTCTTCTGTGGACTCTGGTTTTGATGCTCCTCAGCTAACAAGGGTGGCCTGCATAGAGCACCCAATCAGGATCTGACATTAATTGCCTTATATAAATCATGAGCGTCTTATACCCCTCGCCATTCTTCCTCTCAATTACGCTTCACAATCCAGTGTCTAAGATTAGGATCTCAATTAAGTCTGGATCTTATCTTGGGAGTAAGTGCTACAAACGCCATTTGATCTCCGAGATACACGCATGTTTAAGTTACGGAACACTTACGCGGGTTTAATCCTATAGGTATTGCGAAATTAAGATAGCTCAATGGACACGATGGATGAGTTCTTCCATGTCCCGTGACGGTGAATTCCACTTTCTCTCAAAAGGTATAATCAGTCAATGTATTTGAACTTGACGTGTTCGTGTGTTCTGGTTCTCCGTCCAGGGCCCAAGACCGCCAAACCCCAGAACCAAAGTAAGAAGCTTAACAACGTATATTTATTTAGGCATTACGTATTTAAAAGGCTCTAATTAGGTACATAGCAATGCATTACAAAACGTTTAGCTTAAAGTTGATGGCCTAGCTTAATCTCCATATCCGGGTGACGCTCGTTCAATCCCTTTAGCGCTAAGAGACTCTGGCGGCTAGGATCCCGGTCTTTTAAAAAGCTTCCAGGTTCGACAGCGTTGTCCCAGCCCCAGCGGGTGTGGCACACATCACCTGTCATAAGCACTGGCCCTGATGGCGTTCGAGCAACAAGAGCAATGTGTCCTGTTGTGTGACCAGGGCTGTGGATAGCGAATAACGTGCTGTCTCCGAACACATCAATAACACCCTCAAACTTGTTGTCCGCATCCTTGGGTATGTTGAATTCCTGTAGAGGCGGCCGTCCGGCGAGGAGACGATCGTTTGTGCCTTGGACAGCAGCGTTCATGACCAACTCCGAATCGGCCTCATGTGGCCCGATGTAGATAGGCACATCCTTCGGAATGTCGGGCAGCCCAGAGACATGATCGAGATGGAGATGCGTCATGAAGACACCTTTGAGATCGACACCTTCGGCTTCAATGATCTCCTTCGTACTTTGTCGAACCTTCATCTCACTGATTCCGGCGTATTTCCGCAAGATCCAACCCACTCCTACCTCTGCAGGCTCTTCCACAAAACGACGCGATACGCCTGTATCAACCAGATAGAAGCCTTCGGATGGATGTCGAATAACGTGAGTAAAGATCTTAATTGGCTCGCGGCGTTCTTTCAGACCTGCTGCTTTTGCCTTGGGGTGATTCAAGTTGAGCACACCCGATAAATCAGCCATCCAGTCAGCGCTGACAGTCTTGACCTGAATCGGTCCCGCCTGATCCATCAAGTGCTCCATATGTCCTGATGCCACTCGATTTCCGAGTCTTGCCGGGGCAGTCGGGTGGCTTGTCGCTTTAAAACCGAATGGACTCATAATGCTTGATTGTCCAGTTTGCTACCTCGCTTTAATCCTAGCTTCGTGATTGGGTGTTAAATGCGACTAACCTTTCTGAGGTACACTGACTACTTTGTTGTTTCCTTCCAGTGACGTAGAATTTAGGCTCGGTGTATAAAGGTATGTAGGATGTGTGAGATCTGAACAGAGAGTTATATACTGCCACGGATTGCTGGAGCATGATTTTTTGTGTCAACGGCCTCGACTGATTATTTGTACTCGAACGACTCGCTATGTTAGGAATGTTTTCGCTTCGAAAGGAGCGCCGGCCTCGGCCTAACATCGCATACTTCTTTCACGGCTCAATAGAAATTTAATACACCTTCGCCGTATAGCGTATCTATTTGCCCTGGCCCATCCACAATATGGGTCAAACTCCGATGAGAATTCAGGGATCAAGGTCTTTGATAGTTGGTCGTACGCATGTGGTGTTGTTAACATGTAGTTCTTAGTCATTAGTTTTTCTTACGAAGATGCGCCTAAATGCCTGTCTAGAGCTACTACCTGAAACAGTCTTGAATGTTGACCCATGTCACAGGAGCGCGCGTAAGCGTAATGCGTAATAGTAGCGCATCACGAGTCATGGCTTTGCCGTGATCCCTTCTTCTTTGCGGTGTCACCTCTCTTTTTCTGTTCTTCGCGCTACGTCTTGTACTGTATCCAGACCTTACGGGTCATCTAAATTTACTAAATGCCTCGAGCACTCACTCTGGGGACCCCTGACCCTCATAAGCCTACTGCATTGGTCCTACTTCGCTTCTCTAGCTTGGTAAGCTGGTGGGACTTTGAACAATGACATGCCATGCCATGCCATGCCAGGCAAACCTTCATTTTGCTCGGGATAACTTTTGGCCGTCTCGGCGACTTTTAGATAGGGCACCCACCTCATGGATGCCTTCACGAATGCGCTGGCTCTCTACACTCCTCTATAGCCCTTGACTTTTGCACAAGACGGCACATATGGTAGAGATGGAGTGCGGGATAATGCGGCGTACAGTAGACGCCAAAGTTCCACCTGCGGAGTTGCCAATGTCCGCAGTGGCACAGTTACCTTTCTTGCGTAGCACTGGGAGTTCGAAGATGGTTAGTACCACACGTCATGGCTCCAAAAGCTAGCTGCTCCCGCCTCTAGATATGGCCAGCGCCCTGCTTGGAGAACTAGGCCGGATGGCTGGGAGTCGGGGCCACCCTTGTCTGCCTTCGTAGGCATCTTCTCTAGCAGAAATACTTAATTGCGCCCAGGCGGAGGCCGTCTAATCAGCCAGAATGTTAATACTGGATCTTGAATAAAATAGTGAGGATCCGAGGACAAAAACGAGGATTGCTTGGATGCCTCTCTGTACATTCGAAATCTGGTGAAGGCAACATGTAGTATTGAGGAATGTTTGTAGCGGTGGGCGATGGATCCTCGGACGCTTCGAACTATGTCAAGCACTGAAAACCAATAAGAGGGCAACTTTTGCATTCGATTTTCTCAACGAGGGATGTCCCCAGAATAGATCTATACCTTCCCTTTCTTCGTTGACATAGATAGCTTTATCCAATATCAGAACCCTCTCGTATGAAAACACTCCATTCAAAACTTCCAACAGTATACCCGGAGGTCCCTGTGCCGGTTTTGCAATGTTTACAACAGAATACTCTAATGACATCACGCAGGCGGTGAAATGATCAACGGAGAAGATGCCGACAACGACTATAGCCCAGAATTAGTGGCATACAGAATAATTTCAAGGGCTCCAGCGTTGGGGCCAAGCAGCCGGACTTAAGAAGCGCGAGCTGTGTCATTTGGTTCGACTTGACTGGACTAGTTCTAAAGGTTAAAATTGCCTATTACGAAAGATGCCTCGCTCAGTTCCACGTCGCCTCGCGCATACGTCGAGTTTATAGTCGGGTGTCGATATAGACTATACTCCGCTATAGCCACGTTCGCGCTCTACCTTACGAGATGACACTAATGCTCGGTCATCCTGAGATGGTGTGCAAAACTTTACTCCAAATGCTTTCAAGCTACTGAGAGGACTACCCTGACGTTGTGGGAGCCGCGTTCTTCGGCAGGAGGATGCATAAAGATGCCCGGGCGTATTGAGGACAAGTTCCAACGAAGGGTGAGGAAGAGATTTACTCCTCGTCTCTTATCATCGGCTGGAAACCGGGATTTGATACCAAGCTGAAAGTCCCCTCTAATCATAGCGCCACTTCAGGTCAGGAGTACTCAGACAAGACGAAGTACTCCTTCTCGAGTCCCTCAGGATTACTCACTTAGGGTTACCAAAGTGAGAAAGGAGTATAGTTGCATTTTGCCGTGTGTCAATTGAAAGTGTGTCCCGGTCTTGGAGTGTTTGGTATCTCGACCGTCTATGTTTTGCTAGGACTAGCACTCTCTGACTGGATGCCAGCAATGCGTTGAAGTGGGCCAAGGGAATGAGAGCAACGACGAGCGCCCATGGCCTGTCGACGACCGCGACTTTGTACTAAGGTAGGCCAGCAAGCCCACAGACTGTTTGACAAGGTTCTCGTTCCTAACAAGGGTCATCTCACTTTCATAGCTCTAGGGCAGAAAGTTGGAGTTTCATAGAAGACCAAAGCTTTACATGTCACGATAGTGCCAACGTGGCGGGCTTCCTCACAGGCGTCACACTACCTACAGAGCGGCAGATGAGGCCCGACTATTAAAGACAGTTTCACCAGAATGCGAATTTAATGCACCACCAATACCGTCATTTTCCCACGTCCGCCGGCATAACGAATAGATACCAGTCTCCCTTTGGCAAGCTTGCCCAATTTCGCACCAGAGGCGTCAAACTGCCTTTGAGCATGAACGGACTCCCTCCAGATCGCACATCACGAGACATTCGCTTCTCAGGCTTGCATATGTGTTGTATGTCAGTATCAGATTCTCATTGGCAGTCCTCCCACGTTCCTGATGAGACAGAGCGCGTCACTGATCCAGGCTCTAGTGGCAGGGTCGCTATACTACAACTCACCGAACGACAGCACCGCGCTTATCCATCAAGGCGGAGTTCTGTTTTAATTATTGATAACGGAACACGAATATGGGTTGACCAATGATTGTATTACGAAACTAAGACAGCTTAGTATCATCCATCAATTAGCTCGTCCTTGCTTCGTGACGGCAAACCCCAATTTTTTCACCCATAAGTAGTCAAGGTGTTCGAATCTGACATTCCCTGTGTTCTGGTTCTCCATCCAAGGCCCGAGACCGCCAGAACCCAGAACCAAGGTAAGGAGCTTAACAAGTGTCGCTCTTGCCCTGACCGTTATCCTTGCAGCTGCCCCCGCAGAAGGTAACAAACTTGATAGCACCGCCCTCGCCGCCGAGGCAGTTGAAAATGGAGTAGTTGATGTGGTTGTAGTCAGTTGACTGACCAGCGACGAGGAGAGCCTGAAGTATCTGGTCGTTGTATCTCCCTGTGAATAGAATGATAAGCAAAGAGACGAAAAAAAGCTCCGTGAGAGATGCCCAAGTGACTGATGATTGACTAACCCTTCTTCAGTAGGCTGGAGCCGCAGTAGTTAAGAGGCGCATTGCAATTGTCGGCGGCAGCAAGAGGAGCTGCGACAAGGACAGCGATAGAGACGAGAACAGAGCTGAACTGCATAGTGAATGATATGAGTTTTACTCAAGGATGTTCTTTGATCAATAGAAAGGTATTAGATGATGAGGTTGAGGATGAAGAAAGGTTCATGTTATCGAGGCGGACAGCAACGTCCTTATATACTTGTGAAGAAGAACGGAACCATTACTTCTCCGATCTTCATTGGCTTCTTTACGTAGCTTAGCCGTCTGCTTTGCCTCTTCCATGACTGCATGCGTGAAGCCAGCGTCCCGTCCCTATGACCCGAGGCCATCAGGAGATTTACCATTATCACTATCACGCTCCGTCTGCTTTGCCTCTTACGTGACTAAACCTGTATAGCCGCCATATTATCCCTGTGAACTCATATACAGACCCACCATCATCACCATCATCCCTATCATCTTCGGTCTAGGCTTAAATAGGAAAATGCTCAATAGTACAGAATCTCATAGGCAGCGAATATCGCAACGTACTAGATAACTCCTATCAACTCTGTCACCTTCCCAAAGAAAATAATTTTGAGTAATGCCGAGGCTATCATAGCTACTTTCTCCATACTATTCAGTCTGTCCGCCCATTTTCCCTCTGACTTCAGGACATCATCAATAGGAAGGAAGTGTGCGAACATTACCAAGATCACTTGGTTACTGTGAACAAACCCGTGGAGTCTGTTCTTCCCCGGACAGAATCTCTCGGGGGGTCTTATTTGACCCAATCATGCTGGCTCTTCGATAAACTAGGAAGGCTTGGTCGCGTCGCCGATCGTCGCCGCGGTAGCACCGCACGGGAAGTCGATCTTTGCCGAGAACGGAATTTTGTTAGCGCAGATGTCCTTGACGACGTTGAACCGTCTGGCTTACTGGTTGGCTCTACAAGCCGACAGAGATGCTGAGAAAAGCTTGGCAGCATATGACGTAAGCCGACAAACTTGTGCTGATATAAGAGCAGTAGCGTGCGGTCCTGTACTCTCCAAGTTGGGGAACTCGTAAGGTCTTGACGGTAATGTGGAAGGAGACCTGGTCGGCGACGACGTTGAGGGTAGAGGGGCTGATGGTGATGTGGGGGCTACGACAGATGTCCTAGCAGGCAACACTACTATCTAGGGTATCGTGATCCTCGATCTGGCAAGATTTAAATATTGTTCTTCTATATCGGCCCCGCTGACTTTGATAAATTGTTGTGGAGGTTTCCTGTTTCCTGCTATATAATGGTCACTAAAGTGGTCGTCACTTCAAGCACGGTGGTATATGACGAAGCCCCATGTGTATTCACCTGTCTGAGTCATGCCACTATATAACGTCTGAAAAACCGAAAATTGTGACTCGATCTAGCCCTCGACATCTCGTCAAGTTTCCGGGCGGGAAAGGTGGTGGCCACGTGGGCAAGATTGGTAGGTTGGCTGAGTTGGTGGCGAGACGTTGGAGCCTGGGGTAGCCGATCAAGGGTAAGGCTTACGGCCTTCATAGGAGTTTTCAACTGGTCAATTAGGCGGGACTTAAGAGCAGCCTCTTGAAGCTGCGGAGGTCCTTCATGGCGCACCTTGAAGTGGTACGACATCATTATCTACTCGTCTACAGAGTGGGTCTCGAGTGAAGAGAACATAAGGAAAAATATCTCGATAGATAGACTTCTAGTAAATTGAAAATTTGAGTCTCGGCCGCCAACACACTCTTGGTTTATGTGGTTTATGTGCACATCGTATAGACCTTGATCTTCCGGTGGCTCTTACGGAATGGCTGTTCGTGTAATTGGCTTGTCTACCTACGATGTACCTCATGCCGGGCGAGCCAGGGTCCACCCAATGCGCTGATTGACTACATTCATCTCTGCGAGAATGAGACTTGAAAGAAGATCGAAGTAGGCGGAACGATGGAATATGTGCTAAAGTAGACAGACCTCGACGTTAATTACTAATTCCAAGACTGAGATCACTTAAACCTTCAAGAAGGCTCGACCAATCATTGCGAGACAGTGCCAAACTTGCCCCAAGATTATTCCAGTCTTCAACAAACTTCATATGTCCTACGTCTTCATTTGTGACCATGCCGTCCAGCTCTGCGGATGACGTGGAGATGACTGCGATTCCATGAAAGATGCCATCTGTCGATTGAGGGCTGAACATTCCATCGTCGAAGGGTAGCACACGATATCTCCTCATGACGTCACGAAGAGGCTCAATGAGGACCTCTGCCTGTTGTAGCTGTGTTTTGGCTTCATCCAAAATCTTCCACCCTGCGGCCAGCTCGGGACAGTTGTTTAAATGTACCGATGCCGGGGCATCTAGGCAAAAGTCGAAGAGGAGGACGACGAATGCCAAGTAAATATGGTGAAGAATAATGGACAGTCTTAATCGTGATGAAGCAAACTCAACTTCTCTTTGCTGCAGCTGTTCCTCTAAGCGGATAATAAACCGGGCAGACTCGACGCAAGCTATTCGAGATGCCGCGTACTAGGCGCCGCGGGCGAGAAACGGGAGGTGGATCCTGCATCTTTGACTATGAACGAAAACTTGTAGCACGCACCGCTGAATTCTCATTCTCGCTTGATCATCCTTTATGCCTCCCGAGACATGGTTAAGTCGTAAGAACGCGGGAGTGTTATCCTAAAAGCGAATAAGCTGGGTGTCGAGCTCTTGTACCTGCTGATAACCGATGGCCTCTGGACTTAACCCTGCACACTGCGTTTGTTCAAGCGATGCCCGGAAAACCTCGGCAAGGCGGATGCGCTGGAATGCAAAAGACATACAAGTTGGCTGGTCCATCGGTCTTGTAATGATCTCCTTGCCTTCCATAAGATCATCGTCATCAATGTTCTTAGGCTTGTTGACGGCCATCTGCGAAGGGTTGATTAAACAAACGTTTCCGAGCGTGCCGGACAGTCCTGCAACTATCCTGTAGAATTCAAGTTGTTAGCGAGAATATTGACGCAAAGATGACAAGTTGACTGACCAATCAGTATAACAGAGATACCACTAAACTCTGCGTCCAATTTCTGCCTCAAGAAGTGAGTGCTTTGGCGTGACCAGGCTTAGAAGCCGCTTCGGCAGGTCGATACATTGTAGCCCAAGCTCACGCGCCATAGCAACAGCTCTTGAAAAGATGTTTCTGAATTTTATCGTGACGCCTTCGAGATTAACGATGGAATAGCAAAGAAGGACCATTGCCTGTGTAGCCTCGAGAGACACATGTGAGTCTCTTTGAAGATGGTTTAAAACATCAAGCCCAGCTGTCTGCCACGACAGAGCTTGCGAATAAGCGTTAGACACGATGCTGAAGACATTTCTCGACACACCGTGAGTGCCCCACTGGCTGGTAGAATTCGCAAAGATAGCCAGCAGCAGCGCGATCGTTTCAATTGAGGTACACCGGCCTAAGTCAATGGCGCTGTAAACCTCATCCGCTCGACGTTCTACGCTATTTGCATGAGTGACTTGGTGAATAAAGGAGATGTCGTCGAGGTACTTGTCAATGAGCTGCCTAGCTTCTTCTCGAAGAGGCAACAATACGCACTTGACCGTCTCATGGGAATTGAAGCTTTCGTTCTGTAACATGAACGAACTTGGTTTCCTGATAAGTCGAATCTGGGCTGTGCCGAACAGAATAGGACTTGACACGTTGCAGTCCTTGGGGCTATGTTAGTCAGAGAACACCAAAGAGTCCTCAAGTCAGACTTTCCTTAGCCTTGGAGCCCATAGATTGCCTTTCTAGAATCAAAGCATCCGATAACATGTATAAAATATCCGGCGAGGACGCTAGACCAGCGCGGGCGTCAGTCGTCACAAGGCACCGTAATTGTGATGCTCCCGAGTTGCTGATTTTGGCGGCGAGAAGAGCTTCTAGTGATTCTAGACGTCGAATCAAATCTATACCAGTCTCTGGCGGCACGCTTGGTTATGTCTGCCCGATTGCACCGCGTTGCGCATCTCCTTTCTGAACTGCGGGAGCTAGGCACTTCACCCCGCGAGCAGTGCAATTGAAGCACGGGAATTGGCGGTTGCATCGCAATTTTCGCGCTCGGCAGAGCTCGCACGACACAGTCTTTGAGCGACGCCGGGCTTGTTGACGTTTGCCTTGGTACATGTTGATTAGATTCAACTGGTGTTCGCGATGCTTTGCAATAAGAGGAAGAAGGCAGTGATCTCGGGTTTGAGTACATACGTCAAAGTCGGCGGACTTTGGGCGGATTTGGCGACTAGTTCGGCTCATCTCCGCGGAGATGAGTGGAGACATATATACCAAGCCCAGTCTAGATTGTCAATTCGAACTCATGGTGCAGATTTAGCGTGTTTGCGTTACCCCGAACTGACCCGTATCATTTTTTCAGTTACGACAAATTGCCCCATCGCCTTGTTTCTTGATGATATTCTCAATAGCTCAAGTCGAGAGTCTACTTACTGCCGGGATCAGAAGTGAAATTGTTTCATGTAGTTGCGAACTTACATCAATGTTAATAAGGATACGTTGTCATACAATTGTTTGTAAAATCTGCTTGACCTACGAAATGATTCTCAAGGCGCATTTGGCCCTCGAGGTGCTTGCCTTGCAGATGAGGATGATCCAACGTCCAAAGAACGCACGTTATTGATCCTCACTCCTTTCCCACTTCCACAATGAGTTTCTTACCAAACACTTTTCCATCTCGAAGCCTCGTGAGGGCTTCTCCTAGACCCTGCAAACCACCCTGCGCGATTTCAATGGGGTGCGCGGTGAGCCATCCATTTGCCATGCCATATGTGAATAAGTGACTCATGAGAGATCCAAAGCAACGCTGCTTCTTACTGCCAGTATGAGCCAGTATGAACCAGCATGACGTTGATGTAATCCCCATCTACAAGGCCACAAACTCTGGCACCACCTTGGACAGTGGCAACACGAGGTCGATTACCGCTCAATCCCCACTGAGTGCCCAGTGCTTCGATGAGTATTCCTGTATATTCGGGAGCACCGTCTTCGCTGGTGGCAGCATCAAGTCCATACCAGGCAGGTCCGCTTCCAGCCTTGAAAATGGCCGACTGGATGTCTGCGACCACCCTCTTGGTTGACTGGCGATAGTCAATTATGGCATCACATTGACCGAAGTCAAGAAGCCCGCGAATGTCTTCAGCTGAATTGCCTGCAGTCACAATGATCGGTCGGATATTGGAAGCTTTGGCAAGTTTTATGGCAAAAGTCCCGATAGCAGTCCCCACGCCATGGATAACGATAGGATTGCTTAGACTTCCTGGAGAAAGCCATCGTGATGGAAGTTGAAGAACATCATACAAGCCAAAGCTTGCCACCAGGCAAGCCATTGGGATAGTCGCCGTCTAGTTGCTGAGGTTAGCAATTTGTAATATAGTTGTAACTTGGTCATCGATCGGAGGTATGACACGACGAAAACGTTGAGCTCACCTCGGGAAAGCTAATTTTATCCGGGATAATCAAGGTAGTTGCGGCCGGGAAATCGCATGTTCAGCAAAAGAGCCACCAGGTGTTCCAATTTGATGCAGTGCTGCCACACGGTCCCCTAGTTTGAATTCAAACACATCTTCCGCAACTTGTTCGACAACGCTGGCAAAGTCGTCTCCCGAATTCAAAGGATGTTGGATAGATGTAAGGTACTTTCAAGTCTTTAGAATTTGTGCCTGCATCTGTTAAGTAAGATACGGAGGCGTATGACACGTCATGGATAACTAACCAGACACAACCACTCGGACAAGGACTTCTCCGGCTTTGGGCACGGGAGTTGGTACATCGCGAATTTCGACCTGGATGTCGGGAGTAATGACAGCTTCTCTCATATTTGCGTGTAAATAGGAGCCGAGCAAGTGGGATAGAGATCAACAAACCCAAGGAAAATGACCGATATGCAAAGTGGTGGGGGTTGTTGAATGGAGCCAAAAGTACCTGAGTAGCAATGCGAGAGCTCCGGGTTCCATTCACTGGGTTAAGATTGACGAGAATTCCTTACTAAAAGAGTCACATGGGCTTGATTTACATACTGGTCTTCTTGAGAAAGAATGCCGTAGTCCATTGCTACCCCTCTACAGTGGGTCGCTTCCAAGCTTCTCCGAGATCCGCGGAGTGTGAGAGTTTAGGACTCCGAATCAGCCAACTCATTCGTTCGTCTAGAGCTAAGTATTGGATATCTACAAACATGACAGTCACCCGGATTACCAATCAGTCAGCCCAAAAGATTGCCCGCTCATCTGAATGAGTATCATATGGACCAACCCATATTACAGACGGAGCTCGAGACTGCTGCCGAGGACGTGGTTTTGGCACGATGGCGAGGGAACAAGTTTTCGCCAACAATGGTCCACCCCTCTACACTGGCTAACACATGGCAGAAAATAGACTACGTTAGGCAGAAGATGGCGAAGCCTCGGCTGTTCTAGTTTTGGCTGCGCCGAAAAAGCCCTGGAGGCTGACGATTGACGAGTAGCCCAATACATCATAATTACGTTTCGATATGACGGTGATGAAGAAAGAATTGTCGATACCGGAGAACGTAGGAAGATAAACAAGGAAATTACTCGTGCATAGGGGGCATTCGGTCGAAGTTTATATGACGCCTGGGAGATTTTCAATGATAGTTTTGCGTAACACTATCTTCTAGAAACTTTTTCTAGAAACATTAAAAACTTAAAGACGTATGGCTGTAGGAACTGATCTACCTTGCATGCTCGAGGGTCACTTGGATATCCCGCTCAAAATAAAGGTCTAAGCTACCCTTGGCCAGAATCTTTTCAAGCGCGTTTCGGGCCATCTATAGACGCCATTTGGTGATTAGATATCAAGACGACTCTGGCACTAGGGGAGTAAAGAATACTAGCGACAAAGTGGCTAGTCGCTGTGAGATCACTGCTGCCTTTTACAACCAGCAATAGTCGATATGACTTGTACCTTGCAGAACGCACAAGTTCATTAAAGAATTAAAAATGATCCAGAACTGAGAAAGCAAAAGCGTGAGCCCGCGGTTTTCGGCTGTTGCGGCTTCAGATACGACGGTCTCTGTTCTGGCTCCTATTAACCCTCTCCCGGCGCCATTGAGCAACCTGGCAAGCACTTTTGAACTGTAAGACGAGAGCTCGTATACGAGCCTAGCGAAGGTCAAACTAAGGAGTGTTACCGTCGTGTGCCTTTATTGATTTCTCAAGCCATTCCAGAGGGGGATGGGGGCGGGTTCGATCTTAGTCAATTGAGAAAGAAGCAGAAACGATGTCACGAGTTATGGCACGCAGCAATGGGCATACGGAGTGTGGTAAAAGTGGCTTAACCTATTACAGTAGAAATAGACAAAAGGAAAAGGTCTATATACACGATGTCTGAGATAGACACGTGATTCAGCACGTGACGGGCACTTCGTGAGATGCGGTTACTATCCCTGTTACGTGACAAACGACAACTGAGAAGTTTGTTGAGCTGCCCGGAGCTCAGTGCACTGAAACTGGCTGCAGCTTTACCAATGACAGCCCATATAAGCTGCCAATTCGCAGTCATGTCCAGGCACCAATATCCTCGTCAAAAATCCCGAGGATTCCAAAGTAGCTTAAATTGGTCTCACAAGATCAGTTGGGGGCAGAAGATAGTTCGGCCTAGACCTCCACGTCGACAAGCTGCAGGCCAACGTGGCTGCCCTTCCTGTCGTCTAGGAAAGACACGGTATTCAGCTGGCGAAGTAGATCCGCAGGTTGGTTAGAAAAAGAAATGTCTCCCTACTTGACTGTTATTGGCAAGACAAAAAAAAAGGGACTCAACAACGGGTATTCGTGCTCCATCCCCGGACATTTATTGCAGTCCTTGTACCCTTGCGCTAGCTCAATTTTCTACATACCTGGTGCCCTGGATTTCTCATGTGGCAGATGGCATCTGGTCACAAAATTGATGAACATAAAGAGGGCAATTACTCAATTTCACACCTAGGTAGCATAAAATACACGGACAGGAAATAATCGCTTGACTAGGGTAGAAATAAATCCGAGCGGAATACGCTTCACGCTCGATGTTGTTGGTGTCGGAAGTGCCTAGACCTGTGGGTGTCATTCATATTACCGCAACTCAATGGTTCCCGCAAGCTGAATGTAGTATATAATCCCGAGTCATGTGTTCCTCGTCTGGTCAATGCTCAGCTGAAGTCGTGAATTTCAACGTCAAAGATCAGTTAATTAAGGCCAAGACCAATCGCCGCTATCAGTGACGATGCCAACCCATCAGGCAGACTTCCAGTTACCTTGCCTCGGGACATTAACGAATGCGCAGCATACTTCTCATTCCATGATGAACAACAAGAGAAACAAATTACTCTCAACGCATCTTTGTCGGCTATCAATTTTGGAAACTCATCGAAGTCAAGCCGCAGTACCTAATCGGCTCCAGCCCGTCATACAATAGCTTCCCTGTCCTTACGAGCACAATAAAGCCTGTGTGCTTACCGAGAATATTTCTGGTTTAAAACGTGCTTGTAAAGAACGAGGATGGTCTTTATGATTCTGAAATGGAAACAGTTTTACTATTGAGCATGTAAACTTTAACGAGGCGTCTAATTATGCTCGACAAGCAGGTTTGCAGTTTCCCAACACATTTGATCAGAAGACTGACGAGAAGCAATTTATGGAGTTTGATTTTGATGCCTATTCCTTGGGTATTTTCGACACAGTCAAGAGTGCGAGCGTAAACGACGCTGGGTCAGAGTTTGTCATCTGGGTTGGAAAAGATGCGCTACCAGCAAAAGGTACGTGGCGTCGTAAAGCTATACAGAAAATCAGCTGACTGCACACTCTCTGCGCAAAAATCATATTATTATGGTTGAAGCAGGATAGAATTTGGCCAGCACCTATTAGATCATACTTTATACATTGCGCCCGAACATGCGAAAGTTGGCATATGAAGACAGACGGGCGCGGCGGGAATCAGTTGCTCCTGAGGTGGCTCAGACGGCTGCTATTGCGTCCAGGGCTGGGAAGTATCGCTAATCTGACAGGATCAAATGCTTTGAGTTCTACTGTAGAGAGGTTGGGTTTACTATGTAATTACCCTCATCGAACAACTATTTATAATCCTTGATGTGTTCTCCGTCATTTCCTGCATCGATCTTATGATATTGGTAACTAATTTCTGGGACGTCAGGAACAGGCAGCGCAACCTCGGCCATCATCCTCAAAAGCCTCTTGAACAGGGGAGATTCCGGCCCTCCAATGAGATGCAGTGTGTTTTGGAGCGCGTAAAGCACATCCCTCGGACCCACCATCATGCTTCCGCCCTTGACTCGAGTGGAATCAAGCAGGTATCTGTTACAGGCCAACAGGTCGACCAGTGCGTCCGTAATACGGAATACCTTGAGCTCCTGTAAAAGCCCCCGCCTACCGCGTTAGATCCTAGTTAAGGACAATATCGCTCGTATTTCTATCATTTACATACCATGCCGAACCCGTGGGTCGTAATTGAGTCTCTGGAGACAGACGCGAAAAGTCGCATAGCCTTCTGGGCCACCAATGCAGGTTCCAATATTGAGAATGCAGCGTCACTTTCTCCGCGGCTGGACATTTGGATATGGCGAAGCGCGTATTGCCACCAAAGGATTTGGATCCAATTGCCCGTCATCAAGACGTTAACACGTTGTGTTTCCGGGAGCCTAGGCGCCACAGCTGCAATGTTGTCCATGGCTGACAGGGCATATTGAAGGTGGTCTACACTTTTAGCATCCATGTAGGCCCCTCTTCTATCCCCTGCCATGATGATATTGTTATCAAGTAGTGTGAAGAGCTGTGCCAAGAGTTGAAAAGATTGGTCAAGATCTCCAACCCCCGGAATGTGGAATTCCGAAGACGGCCAAGCCTGAATCGGCGAAAGTGACGTCGGAAAGCAATTCTGTACGCAAAAAGTCCTTGGTATAATGTCAGACTTTGCCATCGTTGGAAATACCAATGACCACAAGCAAACGGTTGACTCACTTCTCAGACACGAAGACCAGCCAGTAGATGCGGAGGACCAACTCTTTCTGCTCATCGGCCAGGCTGGCCAATGTTTCGGTGAGGTGCAAATCTTGGAGGTGTAGCTGTGCAATTGTCTCATGCAAGTATAGAATCGCGGTTCTTATTCTCCCAGTAATAGCGAAGTAGATATGCAGAAAAAATGCTGTCAACAAAGACTCGGTCGAGAAATCTTCCCGGTAAATGAACTGATCTCGCAGGCGCTGAGCGTGACGGGCAAAGCTTTCGGCAACGGAGCTGAGGTCTGTAGTTGCAGTGTCTTGCTTTGCTAAGCGTATCTGAGAAAGTCGCAATTGGGCGATGACCGTCGCACAGACAGCGCCAGCTAGTGCCCAGGCACTTCGATCACCCAGGGGATTATGGACGAGTCTGGACTTCAGATCTTCAATATTAAGAATGGGCCAGACGCAGGTAAGAGATTCTCGGAACTTGTCTAAATACTCGATGTATAGACGCAATGGCATCTGGCCGCTCTCGTGATCAACAACGGGGCTTACAAGTTCTTGTGAGATAGAACCAAGACTTTGAGATTGACGGATTTCGTTTTGATAGTGTGCCACCTTCTGGGATGTACATTGGCGAGGCCCTTTGGGACCTCGCTTTCGTGGAACTCTCAGAAAGGTACACTCTACAGAGTGTTTCTGGCACTCGAGACAAGGCGGATTACCTTGCATGCGACATCGTACCCGCCTTAAAGAGCAGCCATCGCATGGGTTTGCGGTGCGAGTCCTCCGCTTCTCCATAGCTGTTTGAAGATTTAACGAATGACAGAATTAACCAGCGTAGATGGAAGTCGAGGTAAGGTGAAGGAATGAGAGGACAAAGCTTGGCCAGCAGCAATTGAGCCGAGTAAATTAGACGATGCTCTTATGAGGGGGGGATTTCAGGTGATTTTGCTGCCCACCACTGCCGGCGGCAACGTAAAATAGGTAGCATGCCAGCTAGGTCAAAACTTTGCTAGAGATTTCCGCGAAGATTGCCCCGAAGGCGACAGTTAGACTTCGACACCACCATCATTCTCCCTATCAATTGCGTTTCTTGGCATTGCGCATGGATAGGAATTTGCGAGGGCGAAACTGGCAAGATGGTAGCCGTCTCAGGATTGCCGGCTTGCCGGCTTGCCGATAATTAATAAGTACATGAACCAACTTCAACTGCAAGGCAACCAACCGCCAGCATGAACAAAACTTACCCCTTGTCCGGTTTGCTATAACTTCAACATCACTTGTGAAGTACGGAGTACACTATTCATATCTTAGACTTAGCTCCCAGCAATAGCTGAATTGATGGGTGAAAATCCAATTTCGTGAAGAGCAACGTCAGGATAAACAGAGCAGGCTTAATAGAGACCCCGTGTCACTCCGTGGTGGTTTAGTCTCTGAAATTCCCGAATATTGGGAAAACGATCAAAGCCAAAGTTGGAGTATAAAGCAGTTGCCGCCAATATCTGCCCCGCGTAAGATGGTTGAGGTTTACTTCACCTTGACAGCCTGTCCAGACTATGCCAGCCGTTTCGAGAGCGCGATGGTTTTTATGGGGCTTACAATTGGGAATCCGCGGGCTTGGTGGATTACACCTACACAGGCTATCTGGGTGTCTTGACCGCTTTTGTCATAGCGCGAGGCTCGTGAACAGGCTGGGCCGTAAGACGTGATTCAATCTGCGCGTTAGCGCGCGTATGTCACATCACTCAGGTCCATGGCCCGGGTGCGAGGGAATCTTACCTAAATTGGCATGCGACACAGTGCTCTTCTTTTCACCACATGACGAAATGGTCGGAGTGGGAGGAAGAAGCAAAGCCTGCGACCATTGTCGGCGTCGGCGTGTCAAGTGTGGTAAGGTCGCCCCCTCTCCTGTAGATACTCACCGGCATGCCCTCTAATCCAAGTGATACAGATCTTGCCGCGCCCGAGTGCGCAAGATGCGTCAAGGCGCAATTGAAATGCGGGGGCTGTCGCGGCCTCAGCTTCATCCAATACAACGGACCCAGGGCCGCGACCCCCGGCACCGATGTCAGTGACATCTCTCAGGCAGCACCGATCATAGGATCAAAGACAACTGCGCACTCAGTTGTAGTGCCCCGGAAAAACGAGATCATTCCAACCCAGATTGGAAAACAATACTTGACGCTAGGTTCTATGGATGATGTTTACGCCTCTTACGCGATGAATCATCTACTGCACGAGAGCGAGGAGGTCGTGGTCAATCCCGACATAAATCGAACATTGACCAACAAGTGCTTTGTCGCGCTTTCCACGACGATTTTTGGCATCGATAAGAAAGAGCCGCATGTCTTGCAACATGGTCTTTATAGATACGGTACTGCTCTCAAGGCCCTCAACAGGGCGTTAAGTGACCCCCGGGAAAGTCGATCTTTCGACGTTCTAGAGGCCATCACAGTGATGGCCGTTTTCGAAGTGAGTGGCACTACAAGGCTATACGACAGAATATGGCTCAAATCAATGGTTGTGGGTGTTGCAGCTAACCTCAAATGGTCAAGATGATTGCTGGAAACCGCGAAGACGGATGGATAGAACACGCGCGAGGCCTGGAAAGGCTTCTTGACTTCCGAGGACCGACATCGATGCAGCCATTGCCATGTTTGGCACTGTTCGAGAAGGCGCGGCCGTCAATGATTTTCGCTGCTCTTGTCACCCGCAAAACTACCATTCTTTCGAGTACTCTGTGGAAAGGTCTCCCGTGGTTGCAATACCCCGAACGGAAGAATCCACTCCAACTGCTTCTTGATATTGTTGCAGATTGCCCCGAACTATTTGTTTTGCGAGAGGATATCTTCGGTAAAGGTGAAGGGCTTCCTCGCAATTCAGCGCTGATATCTCTGCTTGAAATGGCACAAAAGGTTCTAAACGATCTCGAGACATGGGAGAATTGCTGGTCATCCACTGAGTTGGATCAGTATGATCTAGTCCCAGCGCCGGCCGCTACTACACCAATGCGCTCCGGATACGGCAGGTCCAGTGAACCAGTTTGGGACACCGTTTTTGAATTTCACAGTCTGTATCATGCCAGTACCTTGACTCTGTTTCACGGGACCTTGATCTTACTATTACTTCTGATTCATGGTTTGCAGCTTGCGCTACGAGATCCAGAAGGTCATAGTCCCGAACCTGGGCCTGTACCAATCAGGATACATGAATCTGGCATTCTTATATGCCGCAGTGTGGACTACCATCTTGATAAACTGCGAAACATTGCGAGTTCATCCATTCTATTTCCAATAAGAATGGCGTACGAGGCCGTAGGCAAGTCGGACGAAGTCCTTGGGCTGTGGCTAATGTTCCAACTCAGGCACATTTCGTCCAGCTCTAGCGGTAGATGGGCCATGGCTCGACACGTACTCCGCTTGAACCCTGTCTCGAACATCACGTCAGATAGACTCATACGTGACTACTCAAATTGATAACTTCGATGACATCCATTATATAGGTATTGAGGGAACTCCTTGCCGCTGCCACAATGCTTCTAGTCTGTCCAAGACTCTATCAATAGAAACTCCATCTTCTCTGACTTCTTCCGGTCTTTTGCCTGACTCTTGGTCATTTTGTCTGCGCGCCTTGAATTGGCTTCTTTCTCATGTTCGTCCAATCTCTGACATTTCTTCTCAGCTTTCCTCATTTTCTTTTCTTCCTTCCTCTTGATTTTTTTGGACTCAAGTGGCTCTTTCTTGTCCAATTTCTCGGCGGCTTTCCTTTCATCCTTTCCCATCTTTCGTTGGTTCCTCTCGTACCGCTTCTCCAATTTTGGCACCTTTTTGTCAGTAAGGCTGCCATCTAAACATTGAACATATTCGAATTTATCGAGCGGCTGATCCTGGTTGCTGTTCCTGATTTTGCTTCTTTTCCTTTCTCTCTGCTTTTCTTTCTTCTTAACAGCCCGCTCAATCTGTTTTTCGGTCATTCTGTCAACGATATTTCTTTCTTTGCTAGGTGGCGGGACTTCAAAGCTAAGAGGGGCGACATATGGAGCAAGAGTCCGCATTCGGCGGTCTTGCAAACTCATCTCATATGTCTCTGGTGTGGTAGGCCTATGGATGGAGACGGTCAGCAGGATGGCACTTTTGCGCTGGATAAAGTGACTCTTACCAGAGCTCTGGGAGTCTCTCACCGCATCCCACTCTGGCGGCCAGAGTTTTGGATTTACATATCGACGCCTTGAGGCCTCGAGGCTCGAAGTAGTCACGGTTGACCTTATCTAGAAACAGCTTGGTCCGAATAATCCGACTAGCAGCTGTCCCTAGTCCTGCAGTCACATTTGCTATGCCTCCTGCCAATTGTGCCCAATGATAGGGTCTGGGAAAAAAAGTCAGCTTCATTTAGAGCGTCGTGTGAGGAACGTGAAAATCGCTTACACGAGCCCTGCAATGCTACCCGCTGTGTTTAACATCGCCAAAGGAGCAGGCGGGCCTTGAGCCACGGTCAAATTGTCAAGGAATGCCACAAAGTCTTCTTCGTAAATCCCATGAGCCTGCAGAACTGGACTATATGATCTCGTGAAAGGCAATGGGACTTTGAGAGGTCCAGCAAAGTCTACTCTAGGGATAACTACTGGTTTCTTTAAGTCATCAGTATCAGGCAGGACCCAGCAGTCTGACAGGGAGAGGAAATTTGCTGACTTCGAGCAGGCACTGCGAGCGCCTCGGATCTCTGGGCTCTTGAGGTATCCAGCTTGTTTTGGGCTCAATCTCATATTCCTCATCTCGAAGAGAGGAATGCAAAGATACCATATCCATAGAAAGTGCTGCCGAGGATGGCGAGCCAGAAGATACGGAGTTAGAGGATGACGAGTTTGCGGGCAGTCTCCGGACATTATCTGATTCAACGACGGAATAAGAAGGGGGTGCAGTACCATGAACGGCGTTCATTGTGGGGAAATCACTTGAGCCTAGCTGTGTATTGCCCATTTTTGACGTTGATGTATGCAAGTGTGACTGACGTTCGTGTCTTGTCGGATTAAATGATGTGTCTGCTTAGAGAACATGATGTGAGGACTTCCAGTGTTGGGCCCGAGGTATTTATAACATCACGACAGGAGAGGCTGATGATGGAAGTTTCGGAAGGCCACAGGTAACAGACGGAAGATTGTAGTAAACGATACCTAATTCGGTTCATTCCTCGAGATGACGACTGTTTCTGTCTAGATCTTCAGCTACTCTAGATTCCATATTCGTATACTAAACGGTCGGGAAGGCGCCATCGACAGTGTGATGCAGAGGACCACCATTCTTCGATATCCTTCGCCATGATTTACAAGATGACCCGGGCTGCCGATCAATCACTAGATATGGCGCAATCCTCGAGGCACTAAGAATCCCCGCTAATCCCCACCCCTTCCCGACGATCAGTCATCGACCATACTCTATTAGGACCATTCCTCGAGATTGCCAGTTGCTAAAAGCGTGCGAACTGCAGAGTTGACCAAACACCTTCAAGGGCGGGACACTACTCACTTTTGCTCTAACACCTTTCTACAGGCGGGCACTAATTACTTTTGCTATCATCACTTGTAGCTTATTTATTCCGTCAAGCATTAGGTAACGTCAAGGTGTTACACCTTGAGTATCCTTTGTCGCTGACCTCGATTGGGGCTTTTCAACTGACCGTAGGAGAAGGAAACGAGGCAGCTTTGAAACAGGACACGCGGAAATGATACGTATTTAGCGCTGTGCCTCACACGAGGCACATGGCTCCATGTTCAACGGTTTTTAGCACTCGATTCGACATTCGCATGATCACGCAGTAGCACATTTCTCAAGTTCTACCTCCGCTCGGATCAATGGAATCGTCCTAGACCTCATGGGAAAACACAAGCGGCAAGAAATGCTCATGCTTTCGATTGGATTTCAGGTAGCAACACGCACCAAGATACCACGACTTGTCTTCATTCATTTTTCACTAGTCGTGCTAGCACCCTCGTCCTCCCACGTCACAGCTATTGGTTCGTGATTTCCCGAGAACTTCTGACCTGCGAACCAAAGCTCGAATCGCAAATCCGCAGGCGCAACAATGACTCGTATATCGAATTGGCATATATAGAACTTGAAGCCTCGGGAGAAACACGTGCCTCGCTTCTCTTTGAGTATGAGTTGCTCCTGCTGTACGCCCGTGAGGTTGCTCTTAACTTCGCAAAGCTTGAATGCTCCAGCTAAGTATGCACAAAATCAGTCATGTCCTCTCCTCTAGATGTTGACAATGCTGCGTTGTACAGTTTGCAGACTTACCATGCTTCATACTGCTTGGTAAAAAGGATACTTCATTGTGGGAGGTCACGATCTTAGCGTCCCATGACCTGGTTGTCTCGGCTGCTTTGAGACGAATATCAAATGACTTCACTAACGGCTTCGCTGGATTGATGACATCCCCCTGTGGTTGTGTCAGTGAGCTTACCGGTATTATCATGGGGTCAAGGGACTTACCTTTCGAATGAGCCATTCTATTTGGTTGATTGCCCACTTTTGCTTGTGTTCAAACTGGTCGTCAACAATATCCTCGTTAAAGTGCTTGGCTGGCGAGTAGATCTCTCGAACAATGATCCCGTAGCTAGCTCGCGCTATTCGAGTCGCCAACACCGCCAGATTACCAGATATCATCTTCTGCTGGTGATCAAGGAGTAGGCCGCGCACGACAACGAGTTGTGGGTCCTGGCAAGGGATGACTGCGATCTGGCTCGCATTCGGATGTGGGTAGCTGGTGAACTGTTGCTGGAGCCTATCTCGAACATATGCCGAACTCCCGAGGCCACCGGACAGAATCATATGATCCTATTCATGTCAGAATTCACATCTTGTTCAGTATCATAGTCATGCGGGACATACGACTTGCTGAGGCCGGTCATTTACGCCCAACCAATCCAACTGCTCCTTGATTCTCCTCATTATGCCTTCGATTTGAACCTCAAACAAGGAGGTGATCTCTTGCCTGAATTCTGTCAGTCAAGATGAAAATTTGACAGCTAGTTAACCAAGTTACTTAGTGAATGCCATCCTCCCGTTTTCAACCCGCAATCCAGGATGGCTAAAGTCATGCGAAACACCATCCATCTGGATTCTGTAGACGGACTGCATGTAGGCTCTCTCTCCAAACTTGTGTTTCACTGTCCTGAAATGGTGGCTCCTTGCCATTCTATTGGCGCAATCGGTGGGCAGTCGATCGTGGGCATCAGGGCAGATGGAGAGTCGCTGAGCTACCAATCGAACGAATGCCCTATCAATGAGGGAGGCACCAATGCCAACCCCCCTCACAGCTGCCATTTGCGACATTTGTGGGAAATCACCATCAGTTGATGTAATTTGCATCAAGGCTAGGTCAGTAGTTCCACCGCCTGCGTCAACCGTTAAAAAGAGATTTCCCAATCGAAACTCCACGGGGCTCGTCTTTAGAGTTGCGACTGCAGCTGCTTCTGCCTCCGTTAGATCAAGCTGTGCCATATGGCATGGTCCTTCGATGCCAAATCCCGCATCGCGTATTGCATTCTTGAATGCGTTCACGACTCCCATTTTAGTCCATGTAGTCGGAGCGCTAAACAAGAAGGTAACTGTCATACTTGCCCAACCACCAAAATGACGTCGACCGCACTGAGTTTCTATGCTCTCTTTGATGTGTCCATATACTTGTTTTAAGTAGTCCGTAATGTATCTTTGCGCGTCAGAAGTGCTGCGTGGAACATGTTCCAGGCCTTGTTTCTGCGCTGCCGCCAACGTATCATCGTCCAGAAAGATCTTGAAGAACTCCCGCCGAGTCTTACCGGGAACATTTTCGTCATCGTCTGCGCACATGAAACCCCACGAAGAGATACTGCCATCAGCATTGTAGATGATGGTTGTCGGGACTTTTCTTTCTCCCCGATCACCGCTCCCTGGCCAGTCGTTAATGACTTGGATGGGTGTCCTGGGTGTCATCCAGGCAACCCCTTAGATATCAGTTAGCATATTCTATGAGACCAAAATATGAGCGACTTGCCAGTGTAAGTGGTGCCGAGGTCAATAGATACAAGAATGTCGGGTTTGGCAGCCATCGTAAGAGCAGAACCTGTTCGATGTGCATAAGGTAAGGTACGTAGGTCAAGCTGATCTCTGATTTCTGCGTTGGAACCCCTCTCTCGAGGAAGAATGGCGAGGCAAGTCTCACGGCGGAAGCCCTCTTTGATTGAAACTCATGGTTCATTCCTTTCATGGTCCAAGGGGGATGGCGCGGGGCTAGTAGCCGGAAACCAGGAAGGCGCGTGTTGGTTGTCCTTATCCATCACCTGATATTCTCCCCACTTGGCTTGCGTCCATCCCTGGCCCAGGTAGGAAGGCTGGCTGCATGTAGGTGGCCTAGTCAACTTGCACCTTCGATGCCTCCGGCAACCCAGACCCAACATCTGAGAAAATAGCTTCCGAAGTCTGCCTGAAACCAATTTAATGCGGTCAAATTGCACAGGCGTTGAGTTCTGCTGCGGACTGCCGCGCATTCTAGAGGCCACAGGGATGTGGCGATTAAATGACTCTACCGTCCGTCTCTTGGTACTGTGAGGTCCCTCCAGTTGGCTGAGCTTGATGATTGACCACCGGAAAGTAAGTGATTTACAAGGAATGCAAATAAGGCAATTCCGCCTCCTACCACCCTGCCAGCGTTTGCGTCTCAGCCTGCCTCCCAACTTCTCTATCTTCACACCCAACCACCGAGTGGGCTGTTCACCTGAAATGGCAAGTATTGCGGTCTCAGTGTAAGACGAGGACTTTTGTGACTCTGCGTGTGGGGGGTCATCTCTTTTTAAGCGTAACGATGAAGAAATATTGTGTGTTGATTTCAGACCGTATTTGAGCTTGCAAAGCCCACTTCACCGCCGTCGCACGTCAACCTACTCTTAACCTCCTCCATTTGTCTCAATACGGGGACAGTCTGTTCTCAGCAGTCAAGATGTCTGATTCTTCCACCACGCAAAACTCAGCTGCGGCGGCTGGTAGCCTTTCAGGAAGTATAGCATCTGCTACCTCATCAACCTTTCCAGCCTCAGTTGGATCAAGCCAGCTTTCAACGCCGACTCTCAGCACACCTGCTCTGCCACTTGCAGAAATCACCTTAACATTATCTGGGGCCCAGCCTGGTATTGACAGAGGCACACCAACGCAAGTAGCCAACACAATTTTCACGGCTACCCCATACACAAATGCAGCTGCACAAGCACCCATCGCAGTGGCGGTTACTATCTTTGAGTATCCTTTAGCTCATACTACTAGCATCAAGCCAGCGACCAATTCAAGTGCTTCGACGCATTGTCCTCGTCCATCTTCGACCGGTATATCTACTGGGACTATCGCCGGGGCATCAGTAGGTTGTCTGCTGGGCGGCCTTCTGATCGGGGCAATTGTGGCACTAGCGATTTTGCGTCGAAAGCACCAGAAAGATGGAAAGAATATCAAGAAGGAGAATTTCGTGCTGACAACGGAGTCAAAGATTTACGGAGAGCCCAGTTCTGGTCAGTCAAGTAAGGATGTTGACCTCAGCCAATTCCTCCTAGATGCAACTCCCGACAAGGAAATCGGCGACGAATTCCGTTCACTAAGCGAACTGGTACGGTCTCACATTGAGAGTCATTACCATCTACAACCATTGCACTCTTCGGCTTCACTAGTTCCGAGCATTCGCGACTTGGAATTGCCCCAGACTCCAGGGTCAACTCCCGAAAGCGTGGCCGCTATCTGTGCCAATCCGGTCAGTCGACAAGTCGGGCTTCAGCACGTTGTTTCCACGGCCATTCTCAACAGTATCGACTTCCCCTCAGGGGGCCGATTTTCTGTGCTTCCCGAACCAGTGACAAACTTTCTCCGCTCCGTCCCAAGGGATACCCAATACGACAACTCTAGTGGTGAGAATTTGATAGCTCCAGGCCTCTCAGATCACTGAGATTTGCAAAGCTAACTTTGGTAACTAGCGAAAATGCTCGCGTTGTCACAATGGCGTAAATTATCGGCGTTTCTACTGCACCCAAGTCGCAACCAACGGACTCCACTTTCAATGCCAGACTCGGCGGCAGCTCAGCATGCTGCTGATCTCACCGCGGCTCTTCAGGTCTTCCTTAGGCCTTTCGTTCCTGCAGACCAGACCAGACTAGAGGAGCAAACGGAACACCTCCAGGCGGTCATTCTGGAATGTGCAAAGTTTGGTTGGTTGGTCATGTCACAACCCAGCGACTGGCATTTCAAGTATGGCCAGGGTGGAGAAAACTCGGGGGTCCGGATGCTCCTCGTTTTTCCTGGTCTTGATAAGTTAAGTGGCAAGGATGGAAAGTTGTATCGGTCACCTCATCAGGTCGTGGCGCCTGTGGTAACACAAGTTTAGGCAGTTAGATGTTTGGTCCGGTTGGCTGCAGACTGTATCGACACAAGCAAGCTACTTACTTCAAGTCAGTAACATGACTCAAACCAACATGCAGGCGGGGAAAATTACAAAAGGACCCTGTAGTGTGGCAAGTTGTAAGATGAAGATGTGGATATTGACTGTGTGAGCTATCTTCAGCTCAGCCTGCTCTACCCCTAGAAAAGTCGTGCCGTCACACTGACCCTGGTGAAACCCCATGGACTGTTAGGCGCTAAGACTGTGCTGTTGGTTCAAAATGTGTTGCTTTTTTTTTTCCAAGCACCAATCAGGCTGTTCATCACATTCCCAAGAGAGAAAGCCCAACCGCTAATTACTGTGCCACATGCATGTTGGCTCTCCGTGAGTGCATCTACCCACCCCACCCCCTTCACCACGGCTCAGATAGCCTAGCTAGCCTTTAACTCCGTATTCAGCCCCAGCCTGATGGTTCATATTTAGGCACTTGCAGATTGAAGATAGGGGCTCGTCTTGTTGCATCCTTTGATGCCACAGCGGAGTGTCCTACTTAAGTCGGTTAGTGACTACTGATTGCCCAGGTTCACAGACGACACATAGGCAAGTGAGGAAGCCTTCTGGGTAACATCACCGAATCCCCTCCAACGCAAACGCAGAATATCCACGCGAGAAGCATGATACCATGTACTTGAAGGCGGTGGGTTCATACCGCAGCCTGCTTGCTATGGCGAAAGCTTGGCCCCAGCAATCAATACGCCTCCTCCAAAATTAGGACATGCACTATGCATTTGCTTACTTTGTGCTGCTAGACAAGAAAACCTGGGTCGCGTCCGCTAGGTCCATGATCACGGTCGAGCTCGGTACAGAGCCCCTTCTGTTATCTCAATTATGCACATTGTCTCGCTGATGTGGTGTCGAACTGGCAAGAAACACAGTCTATGGTAACCCTCCTGGTTCTGTTGCTTTCGTGTTAGCTTTTCTAAGGCGTCTTGTTGGATCATGATTTGCTACATCTTCAACAGCTTGCTGATTTGACATTCGGTTGAGTGCATGCAAAGTTAAGCACTGGCGTTTCTCTATGGATCCCCTCAGCGCTCTACGTGCAACTTACTACATTGTTCTCTTTGGTATCGAACTGGATCAAGTCCCACAAGAAGTCAGAAACAGCCTAGAACTTGTGCGTACCTGCCACACCGACTTGCAGTATCTTATCGAAATCCGCAATGAGCTGCTGCCCCTTCTTCAGAGACGCCCCAAAGTCCTTGAGCGTGTCAACAGCATCGTCGAAACAACACACAAGGGCTTGGTCGAGGTCTGTGAGATCGTGGAAAAGAGTCGCCCTCGGCTGAACAATGGAAGGACCCCCTTCAGGAGTAGGCTGTCCTGGATTCTTTTCGACTCCGCACAGTTCAAAGCACAAAGACCGGTCATCAGTCGTCATCATGCTTCCGTTCTCGCAGAATTGAATTTCCTGCGACAGATTGCGCTGCTTGCGCCAACCCCGCAACGCGGTAATGGCGATGATGATGCCTCCAAGAAACCGACGATGTTGTTTGACAACGTTGCACTCTTGGAGGACTTGATCGGGAAGGCCAATACCTCAGGTACCGTACCCACTGTACCCCTTTGTGAACTTAATCCACCATGTATATTGACGTTGGCTCAGGATCCGTGACCTCATTACCGGCCTACTCAAGCGATATCAACCCCCCCGAGCAGCGTCAACCAGCCGATTCAATAACAAGTCAGGCCTTCTTTGCTTTATCCTCCGGCCCTTCTACTGTGTACTCGGCTCTATCTCCTCTGCCTGTACCTACAGATTGTCCTAAACTCCCTTCCGACTTCCTTTCTTCCTCTTTGTCGAAGATTGACATACCCGAGCACATCCTCGACCAACATCAAGATGCGCCGAGTATACTTGGATATGAGGAAACAGGAGGCGAAGTCCTAGATTCGTCTGATGGAAACGGAATTTCTCTTTTGTTCGGAGATTATGCGAACATGACACCACTTTTATCATCAACGCCATCTGTGTCGAGCGCATCTACATCCATGTCACCGTGGTCTCCTAGTGCTGAGCATCTCCATCGACCAGCCTCCGTGGTGTCTTCCTTGTCGTCTATGCATGGAACACCCGGGTTTTCCAACTCGGAGACCACATTGGTAGTTCGATCCACCTCGGCAATGTCTTTGGAAAATACAGCCCAGAGGCAACGACCGCCGTCATTCCGTAAACAACATCAATCTGAGGAGTTCGATCATCGGAACCTTGACAGTCCGCCTGTTCCGGGCATGATTCAGGACTTAACATCACCACGAAGCACTTCATCTCCCTCTTCGGCTTCCACACCTATCTCATCTTCAGCACGTCAGTTTCGCTCGTGGTCGTCGCCATCGTCTTCACAACTAGGTCGACACAGACCTAAAGGCCCCCACCAGTCCAACCCTCCAGATGCGTCATCATCGCCAGATGTAGGAAAGAACCCCAAGGTTGCATATCCTGCTTCCTTTCCTCTAGATGCTAAGGATGATCAAAACGCCGTCTCAAATGGCCGTTTTCGCGCATATAGTCCCATATATCGCAACGAGGATGTCACCAGTCATCTCAACTCTCCATCTCAGCCTCGTCGGCTACAAGACCAGGCATTCAATACAGACTTTACGCACGAACAGCAACCATTGCCGTCACGGGCCCAT